CCCGACCCCACCCAAATGCATTTGTGCCGGCTCATTCGTTTTGTTTAGCTCGCCCGTTCTTCTTCTTCTTCTTCTTCTTCTGTTATCCCGACTTTATTCGCTCTCCTTTGTTGACCCTCCCCGTTTTTAGCGTTATGTGACACATTTATCTGACGCCGGCCCGTTTCCTCTCTCCCCTTTGCATCCTCCCCCCCCCCCCCCCCTCTCTCTCCTTCAGCTGGGGGTCCTCGTGTCCAGCTCGGCTGACCGCCAGCTCCTGTACAGCGAGGCCAAGATGGCGGCGCGTCCCTACCAGACAGCGAAGCAGCAGTGGTTCCGGTCCCTGCAGGAGTCGGGCCTCGGGACCTGGGTCAAAAAACCACCGGAGCAGGACCAGTTCCTGCTCTCCGCCTGAGCTACAAAGTGTGTGTGTGTGTGTGTGTGAATGTGTGTGTGTGTGTAAGAGAAAGATATACAGAGAGTAATGCGTTTGTGTGAGCTTTATTTCTTTTTTTTTTTTTTAGAGTAAGATAATGCGTTCTACAGGCTCATACTTGGATGTTTAGCCTCCAAACCCGAGGCTGACAGCCCCTTTTGTGTTTGTGTTGCATCCTTGTTTGCGTCACACAACTGTTCGGTACAAGAAAAGACCGGTAAAAGGTCACCTGCGCATTCTGGACAGAAAGAGGGGGGGGGGAGGATGGCCATTTTGGCTCAGACGTTTCTTTAAACACATCAACACAAAGGTTTTAGCAAACGCAAACCTTAAACCCCCCCCCCCCCCCCCAACCTATTCCGCCACCAACCCCTTCTTTGGCTGTCAAGAAAAGGGTGGGGTAACCTTGAGGAGAATGAAAGGCAGCCACTATCTTGTCATCAGCTATTTCCGGGCCCCAAGGCTCACGCTGAGGAGCAGAGCCACAGGGGAGAGAGCGAGACAGACAGACAGAGGGAAAAAGGGAAAAGGGAGGGAGAGAAAAAAAAAGAAAAAAAAAGGGTCCACGTCCAATTACCGTCCCTGTCAGGGTGACGGGTGATGGAGAAAGAGGAAGGGAGGCAGAAAAAGGGAAGGACAGAAGGCAGCTTCAGAGCAGCGCGCCTCACCTTCTCCTCTTATATTTTTAGTTTTTCTCCTTCTTCTTTTAACTCCTTTAGCTCCTCTGATCTGTCCTCTGCCCTCCGTGGCCTCCCCGTCTTTGCTCGCCTCTCTCTCTCCGATTGGGCAGAGTAAAAACGTGACACAACGGTAGGTTAGCGTGACCCTCAAGAGCACGAGGAGCCATCAGGGCTCCCTCGTTTGGAGGAAGAGGAGCGGAAGTGGGGGTTCGTTTACCAATAAATCGGCCAGTCTTCTTTTTTAAGGCTCTAGGAAACAGGCATTCCTCAAACAACCCGGCATCCATGTAAATGTGTACCTCCAAATGCTTTCACACGCGCATATTTCATCTGTATATCACAGTGTGTTTGTGTGTGTGAGTGACGTCTTTATGAAGCGAAGTGTTTCGACTCATTATGATCAGTGACAGTGGAGTGCTGCCGTTTCTGTACTTTAAATAATTCAGTGGAGGGACCCATTCCGCCAGCAGCAGCAGCCCGGCCCGCGTTCAAAACCGAAAAATCCAAGTAGTGAGAGTGACATCTAGTGGTTTTTGTTTGGTCTTCATTTTTTTTTTTTTTTTTTTTTATGTCCTTCCTCCATTAGATGTAGCACCGAGGGTTCAGTTCAAACCAAATTGTGGTGTGCCGATCAGACTTTAGGGATTAGCCTTTTTTTTTCTTTTTTTTTTCTAGAAATCAGTGAGGAAGAAGCTTTGCCAGACAGTTAAACTCACACAAAGGTGGCAGATTTGTAGCGCGTTCCACATGCAACCGGGTTCCAGATTTGTTCCAGTTTTGCTTTCCTTTTTATTTGATTTTATAGAACTGTCTTTTGTTAATAAAAATGTAGGTGTGAACAGTGTGTCTCCTCTCTATTAAAAAGTCATAATGAACTGATATGGAAACATCTTCGTCAAAATCCGCCTCGGATGGACTGAAACAGATTATCTGAGTGGCCCCAAAAAGATTTTTGTTATTGCAAAGTTGAGTTGCTTTTGTTCCTAAAAGCTTATTGTTAAGCTTGTTGGGGAAAAAAAGGAAAAGGCCAAAACAAACCAGCGGCATTTTTTGTGTTTTTTAATCCCTTTATAAACACTGCTACATTACCAAGATTGTCCATTCACTACAATAAAGAAAGGAAATCAAGAAAAAAAGGGAAATACTCTGTATTTTTTCACCTGTTCTTGAATCAGAATTGACACCACTGGATGAAAATAACTGAGCATAGCTATCTATCACAAGATTTCTATCACAAGATGGTTGTGCGAATTAGTTTTTCTCCTTTACTCTAACAAAAGACGGCGCGGGAGATCGTCCAGATAACTTTGAAAACTCCACCTTTTAGCTGTAAGGGACTTTCACCAGCCATCTCTGCCATCTTTGGGGTCATTTGACACCGTTAGGAACCTGAGAAAATGTCCAGTGACCGGGTCAACGGCCTGTGGCACCTGGGGTCTGCTGTGCGTAGCATGTGGGATCAAACCCATTTAGACTTTCATCTCTCCGTCTGAAAAAAGCCTTCCGTTGAGGAGCTCCGCATGAACAAACGAGAACCCCCGTCTGTATTCCAAACACAGCTAGACTCATTCCGTCTGAGTTAAACCTGGAGTACTGAAGCATGACACGGGCGAGGCCCGTACGGAGGAATGCTAAACCGCTATTCGGTAGGCTGTAGCAGAGCTGAACGCCTGGGTATCTGCAGCCCTCGGCCTGTTGAGATGCGAGTTCACACCTGTGTCTGCACCATTCACGTCAGGTAGCGACAAACCTGAGCTAAAAATACCAGTCCAATGTCTCCCCTCAGCCACATGTTCTCTCAACTCCCATTGGTTCATTAAACAGCACTCCGTTTCCTCGTTGTAGCACCCAAACCTGAAGCACTTCAGTTAAGTAAGTAAAGATGAGGAGGCTGGACGAAGCATCTGTGTAACTTTTAACGTCAGTCCAATTTTTGCCATGTTTATTCACAATAAACACAATGTGTTCATACAGTATATTCACCAAGAGAGATGATCACTGTGAGCATTGGGAGTCATTTAAAAAGAAGACAGCCACTGTAAAAAAAAACAAAAAAAACAATCGAAACGTCAATGCAGGACAATGGACGACTAGATTTTGGACTTACTTCCAAACAAATTATTGAAACAAGCTCAAATATAGTCAACATTTTTGGCCCCCAAATGTCTGGTTGTTGTCACCTTGCTTCAGAATTTGAAAAGAATATAAAGAAAAAATATAAAGAGTTTTGTTTTTTTCCGTCTGAGCTGCCATATAATGAGATCCGACACGTTTTATGATTTTTTTTTGGCCACAATTAAGAACGTCATCGTTGTTTTACACCTTAATGCTGTGTTAGCCATCACAGATTCACACATTTATTTTGAGATAACTATAAGGCATGTCTGAATGGCAATATAATATCAATAAGTGTACATATGTAAACTATAAATGTATAAAAGATGTCGATGAAGATGTGAAAGAGATATGAAAATGTCTACTCATGATGTAAATGGTAGGAAGAATTGCTGCTAAGGTCTGTAAATTGCACTTGAGTAACTATAAATAAAAAAAGTGAATGTTTGTACTGTATATGTGAATAAAACCACAAAATCTTGTAATTTTTATTTTTGCCTTAATGTTTTTTTCCAGCGGCATCAAGTTGAATTTGATGTGAAACCGTTCGCTCGAGGTAGATTTCAATGTTTTATCTTTTTATTATGGGCCGTTTGGACTTTAGTCATGATCACCTCTCTGTGTGATAATGCGCTCGCCCTCGAGAGCATCGCCACAATTATTGAGGGGGCCTCCTCTCGGCGGGCTCTCCCAGGGGAAATCCGGTGGGAAATGGTTATCTGTGTTAGGCTTGTGGCAGGTGTCATACAGAGCAGGCACCAAATTAGCCGGGAGGGTGAACGGGGCGAGGAGGGAGAAGCGGGGTGAAGGGTCGGGGCTTTGAGCTACGTGTCCTCTCCAGCATCTGCCTTCCCTCCCACAGCCACGGAGTCATCTGGGTGTCCGACAATAAACACCGTAATTGACAATTTGATCCAGCATCTGGTCACAGCCAAGCGGTCCAATTCTCATCGACAAGGGGGGAAAAAAGCTCCACCGTATAGATTCTGCGTCCTACTTTTATGCTGAAAAACAATAGCCATCACACCCCAAGAAATACTCTGCTAAATGGTATACCCATGTTATAATAAAGATTATAAATCTGGTATACAGAGCCTATTTCAGGGTGGAACAAAAGATCTAGAATGGGATTAAAAAAAAACATGGCACTATAAATTTGCTAATTTATTTAAACCTTTTTTTATCCTATTTTCATTATCTTAAATGAACTATGTATTTAAAAAAATAAAAAATGTGACCTCAATAACACTTTCAAAAAGGTTTGTGAAAGACAAAGACAGAATATAGAAAAAAACGGCCTTCTGTAGAGATTCAACACAGAACTGATAGGTATGGGCGCCAGGACTAATTATAAAAGGGACGTCTACCAAAGACTTAATTTCACAGCTTTTGCCAAAATTTGGATCAATGCTTTAATTTTAAAAAGTTTAAAAATGTAAAAAGCATGACAACTTATATACACGCCTACATTTCAGAGCATACATTTCTAGCATACAAAACCAAGAAGATACAAATCTCAACTGGATGTCCTTTAAGTTGGCACTTAATGCAAAATTCATGAGGCCACATTAGTTCAGAAATAACTATTCAACACATTCTGATGCTTCATCTATAAATTACCTTTAACTAGGTATATGTATGGGGTATAAAGTGGAGACAGTGGTCTGACGAGTCCATATTTAGCTGTTTTTGAAATCTGGTTTTTGAAAAAAGATGAGAAAGACCCCAGTTTTGTACAGAAGGTGGCAGCTATAGCTCCCCTGGTACAAACCCAAATATCTGCATTATTTGCTTAACTTGGCTATTTGGATTATTCATTATTTGGACTGCCACAGCCATCTCTAATAACTGCTGTATGAATTACATCAACGTTTAATTTCCCTCTGGGATAAATAAAGTATTTCTGAATTGAATTGAATTAACCCTCAGATCAGCTTGGCTACTGTTTTTCGTATCTGGATCATTCCTGGTTGGTCATTTAGCTTAACTTGGGCGATTACTGTCCCTTTCTTGTCAATGCAATATTCAAAAAATAAACTAATCAGCCATGTCAAAAAAGGCAAACTATATGTGTATGGTATGGAGCTTCAAAAATCTATGTTACATGTTCTATGATTATATATCCCTCACCATTATACACCATTATAATAAGACCAGTTTTTATTATTTCAAAAGTACTGGAATTATAAGGAAATATGTTCCATTGACCAAATAGAAAGTGTGAGTTGAATAAGACAGAGACACGGGTGACTGGAAAAAGGAAATCACATATTTTTTTTATTGGAAAGTGTCAGAGAGCACGAACCCGTCACAATAAAGTACGCAAAGAAGATCTCATAATGAAGTTCGAGGTGGCTGAATTCACTACAGAGAGCTGAAGCCAATCTAAGGGTTTTCCAACCCCACAGTCTGGCACACAATAATTTAATGTATCCATCCAAAAATCATATTTCCTGCCGGTTGAAATTCATAAGCCTGCCGGACTTCCCCTTCTACCTGCAGATTGGACTGACACGGATACCGGCG